CGGCCCCCAGTGCCGTGGCGGAGCCCAGCACAGCCTGGCACGGGGTGCTCTGCCGGCAGCCTGGCCAGCGGGCAGACCCAACTGACAGGATTTTAAGCCTGCGTTGGGATCTGTGCGGAGTTCTCCATTTTAGAGGGGAATGGCTTGGAGGCCTGGAGTCCCACACCTTCACCGTCAAGCAATGCGCCTCCCAGGGCCACAAATTCAGGTTTTACTCTCTAAATGAGGCAGGAAGAGTCCACGTAAGCCTGTGCCTGAATTAGAGAGGAAGAGAGTTGCAGCTTAACGCCTTCATCTTACCTTCTGCCTCTGGGGGAAGTTTGACTTGGGACATCTCTCCTAGGATGCCCGCTGACGCTGTTCTCTGTGCTTGGGCACGGAGAACGTTGGTGTCTGCTGCCGTTGCTCATACGTGCTCGCGTGTGCTGCCCACAGAAGATGCTCCAGTCTCATCCCTCTGTTCCAGCATGGCATATGGCCTCCTGGTAGCATGCCCTTCTGGTCCTCTTGCCATTAATTTCAGGCCTTGGTTCCTGCAGGGAGAGACAAAGAAGATGTGGTCGTCCCAACATCGGGGGGTAGGTACGACGTGCATCTGAAGAAGAGGCAGCGTGTCGCAGTGTACTGGGAGGAGGAGGTATCTGAAGTGCGTCGCTGCACCTGGTTTTACAAGGGGGACAAGGACAACAAGTATATTCCCTACTCGGAGACCTTCAGCGAAGAACTGGAGGTAAACACGCCTTTCCTGGTAGCACCCATCTTGCCGAGAAGCGTCTTGGCTTCTCATTGTTCAGAACTGGCCCTGATGTCCCAAACTCCGATGGGGCAACCGGCACCGCAGTCACGCCTGTGGACATGAGCTCAAAAGAGGCTTTGGCGTGGCGTTTTTGCAGCCAATTAATGTAACTGCAAACGCTGCTGCTGTTTCCCTGCCAGCCTGCCATGGCTGGGCGGCCTCCCCTTCCTCCTGCCCTCATCCAGCCGTGTCAGCATCCTTCTGCTACGCGTTGAAGTGCCTGGGTGCTCTCGGCATGCCGTGTGGCTCTGGCCTTGCTCGCAGCCTCGCTCTAGCAGCTTTGCTCTCTTCTTTCCTGTCCCTGTCTGCTCTAACCCCAGTTTGACTCCTTGTCAGAATCATCCTCACCACGCTTGTGGTTCCGCCAAAGCCAAGGGAGTTGTGAATGCAAGGAAGAGGAATCATCGTTACAGGGACCCGCTGAAGGCTAGGTAGTGTTAGAGGCTTCAGGGGTCTCCACTGTTAATGGCTGGAGACCTTTCTTTGGGAAGATAGGTATGTAGCGATATATAGATATAAGTGTTCTGATATACCAAAAAATACAGTTCCCAACCGATGGGGAAGTCTGCTGCTGCTGTTAAAGTGGGGTTTCTTGGGAACTCTGCAGCAGGCGATACTCAGATGACTCTCTTGCTCCTCCAGCTTGACCTGGCTGATTTCTCTGCCTCTTTTGCAAAGTGTGTTGATAAGAGATGCCATAAAATGGGTGGGGAATGTCCTGAGTGGTTGAGTATTCGTGGCAATACCTTCAACTGACTGACAGAGGGTGTTCTCCCCAGGAAGCTTACATGACTGCTGTCACCCTGGACGAGTGGAAGAAGAAACTGGAGTCCCCCAGCAGGGAAATCATTATCTTGCACAACCCAAAGGTGAGGAGCGTGTTGACCAGCCAGGACATCCCTTCCGTTCTCTTGAGGGCCTGGCTTTATGCTCTGGCTTTACGCTCTGGCTTTATGCTGTTTCTTTTAACCATGTCTGCTGAGAAATCAGTTCTGTCCAAACAGCATTCCCCTCGCCTTCCTGCGCCGGGCAGAGGGCAATGCCAGCAGAGAGGCTGCTCCACACCTTAACGTTTCTTTTCAACACACTCGTACCAGCACAGTTAAACACCGCGGCCTGGTACCACCCCGTATCACCCACCAGCTGTTGTAGCAAAATTCCTCCTCTTGCTTAACCACGGTATGCAGCGCAGCTTAATGACAGGCTGTCTTGTTTACAAGCTGATGGTGCACTACCATCCGGTTGCCACCTCCGATGACTGGGGCTCCACTCCTACGGAACAAGGTCGACCTCGGACTGTGAAGAGAGGAGTAGAAAACATCGCTGCCGAGATCCCCAATGGTGAGCTCGCTTCTCCCTCCCTGCCGCCCCTCCAAAGTTACAGGGTCTGTTTTCCAACCCGTTTTCTCAAAAAGGCTGACAGAAGCTTCCATGATCCTTTAAATGAAGGGCACATCTAAAAACTTTGTGCCGAAGGGAACCAAATGGTTTCCAGAAACCTTCCTAGCAGCAGAGAGCCTGCAGAGTAAAGACAGAGGAGGCAGACACATGGGGAGAAGGCAGCGCACTTCCAGCTCCTGCTCTGAGACCGGAGCTGCTGAAAGCACTGCAGTGCCTGAAATTACCCCCGAGGTCTCGGTGTGTATGTTCATAAAGGAGAATTTTCTTTCCATGGTGGGGACACGGGGGTTTATCACTTCCCTACATGCAGGTGACTTTCTGGCGCATGTGCTCTCCCCGTCTCCGGAGCTGTGTGTCAGCTCTGCCTGCTCCAGCTGCCCCAGAGCTCCCAGTCAGGCCTCAGGACTTGTCCCCATGGTGAGGACAGGCAGTCACTCCTACCTAATCCCTCCGTTTTCCATGCGTGCGTGCCTTCAGGGAAGTGCGTATGCAAACAAGCGTGTGGGAAGTGGAGAACAAGACCTACCTCTGCCTGAGAGGTGCAGCCTCGCCGGGGCCGGGTGGCTCGGCAGAGCAGGCTGGGCACAAGGCAGCTGGGCTGACTCCTCCTGGTCCTGCCCTCTCCCACACCGAATGTGCCCCACGGCCGGGTGGGCATGAGCGGCGAGGACCATCCGCTCCCGCTGAAGTGGGGGTGGTGACAGAAGGGACGAGCCGCCTCGCCTTTCGCTACCGTTCCATCGATCCAGAGCCATCCCAGGGTGGGCAGCTGAATTTAGCAGGACAAACAGTTCAGGAACGTGAGAAATCTCACCGCCCTTCAGGCATAAAATCCAGGCACCAACTCGAGATTTTTTTTACCTGGCTGGGGTGAGGAAGGGGGGCTCCACGCTCCTGCGGAGCATGCGGTTTCAGTGGGTCAGTTCCCCGTCAAGCGGTGAGTCCCGCAGGGCCTGTGCTCCCCCAACTCTTCTTTCCTCCTCAGGAGAGCCGCTGCAAATCGACCACCTGGTTTTTGTGGTGCACGGGATCGGCCCAGCGTGCGACATTCGCTTCAGGAGCATCATCCAGTGCGGTAGGTGTGGAGCCCGGCCAGGGTGCTCTTCCCATACGCTGCTTTTCGCGGAGCCAGCAAACCCTCATCTGCACAGATCAATGTGAAACACTGTCAGAGCGCATCCCGACCACCCCGACGCTCACTGCACAGCCGAATCTGCTGAGTGCAGCGGGGAGCGTGAATGCCGCGCTCACCAACCCGTTAAATTCTCCCATTCGGAAAGGTTCGGGCGGCCACTTCTCACCACTGTGTTCTGCTGCTGCTCAGAATAGTGAGTTTCCCAAATCGGATACAGATTTTCCAAGTAACTGTCTAAACCTGCTAAACGAATTAGTAACCTGCTCAGACTGTTGCTTTGGGTTAATCTCGCTGGGTGAAGTCCAGCAGGCAACACCCCATCCCGCAGCCCCGGGAGTGAGTTTGGACCAAAACCAGGGCCGCTGCTTCTGGCTCAGGAAATCCCCAAGCTGCAGCTGCCTGGGAGAGCGTGCGAGAGGTATCGCTGGTCTTGCACGCTCCCGCAAGCGCCCGCTGTTGATCAGTATTGGAGAGAGGGCACTAAACCAAGTAACTCCGCTCTGACCTGTTCGTTATCGTTTGCTCACAGAGCTTCAGCTCGGTAGGAGGTGGTCACTGACACTGCCTGGAAGCCCGACATGATTTAATGTGTAGAAATCGAGGGAGCTGAGATTTTTCACAGCAGACTGTCTGCAGTTCCTATAAAATACACCTTTGCTTTCACGCAGTCTGTTTCAGCTGACGAAACTATTTTTGAGGCTGCTGATGATTCGAAATGAAGGAAATCCGTCTTTCTCCCTCAGAACTGAGCAATTCCAAGTTCATCTCCTCCCTCGGGATTCCCTTTCTCACACACACATCTTCACAACAGATTTTTTTTTTTTTTTTTTTTTAAATTCCTAAAAGTACCTTTCTTATCCTGACTGCCGCATTAAAGCCCTGCCCCTGTGGAAAGGAGGCTTGTTACAGATAGGACAGCAAAATCCAGTAAGAACACACGGAGGGACACAGAGCCTTCCCCTGATCTTATAGTTAAAGATCCAAGCTCTTAGGGTAGCGGCAGCGGATTAAAGACCCTGGTGGGATTTCCCCCGGTAATGATCTTTTCTTTTATCTTATTAAGTGTTGTTGATGCAGCAGGATTGCCCCGTAGCCTGGTGGATCTCGGTCAGCGTTCGTGCTCTTTTCCGGTTAACGGTTGGACGTGATGATCTTAAAGGTCTTTTCCAACCTAGACGATTCTATGATTCTATGATTCCAGTGAATGACTTCAGGAACGTTTCCCTGAGCATGCTGCAAGCACACTTCAAGAAAGCCCAGGAGCAGCAGCAGATCGGCCGGGTGGAGTTTCTACCTGTGAACTGGCACAGCTCCCTCCACTCCACCGGGGTGGACGTGTAAGTGTCGCGGGCAGCCATCATCTCCTCCGGTCCTGTGGGAATGGCAAAGCACACAGGCAGCCTCTTCCCATGTACACTCTGCTTTTCCTGGCGGCCGCTGCTGGCAAAGCTGTGAGTGTGAGCGTGCAGGGGAAAGCAGGACAGACGGGGCCCCGCAGAGCCACCCCCGTGCCAGAGCCCGTCCCCACCGTCTTTTTGCAGCCCCGTTTTGCCTGCTCTGATCAGCACCAGGCCGGAGAGGAGAGGCTTCTGCCTTTCCCTGGCTAATATTGGGAGGGACTGGGGACATCCACACCTTGCTAAACGCATCTGCAGACCAAGTACCCAGCTTCTGCACTCAGGCACTGCTCTGCAGTGCCCTGGGAAGGGGAGGGAGCAGGTCAGGCTCCTTACCCCTGCCTGGAGCAGAAGGGCACTGGCTGTGCTCTGCCTCCGCTCTTGGCACGAGCAGAGGGTCTGGATTACAACATGCTGTCCTTTGAGGCGGTGGCAATCCCTCTCTGAACTTATACTTTGCTTTAGAAACGTGGCGGGGGGTCCACCAGCACCCCTAACTGCTGTTCCCTCTCTCCCTTTTCCCCCCCGTAGTGACCTGGAGCGGATCACTTTGCCCAGCATCAACCGCCTGCGTCACTTCATCAACGACACCATCCTGGACGTTTTCTTTTACAACAGCTCCACCTATTGCCAGACCATCGTGGACACGGTGGCCTCCGAAATGAACCGCCTGTACCAGCTCTTCCTGCAGAGGAACCCCCTCTTCAAAGGGGGGGTCTCCATTGCGGGGCACAGTTTGGGTAAGGGGTTTCACCCGTGGGTCCCGCGGATGCCGGGAGGGTGCTGGTCTTTCCTCCCAGACAGGCTCAGGGCTTTTCCCCCATGAGATGCTGACGCTCTGCCTGCCTGCGCCTGGTTTCTAGGGTCGCTCATTCTGTTTGATCTCCTGACGAACCAGAAGGCTGCTCCGGAGGAGGACGAGCACAGCGAAGAGGTACGCGCTCTCCGGCGGCGCTCTCATGGGTTGCTGTGCCGGTGCGGCGTCGCACCGGCCTCCTGCTTCTGCAGCTGCTTGGGGAAGGGGGAGAGACTCCAAAACGCACAGGAGAAAATAACCGAGCAAAAAGCAAAACCCAAAAACCCCACTGGCTCTGTTCACAGGGGTCCGGGACAGCCTCAAGCAACAGGGGCATTGAGGAAGTACAAGAAATCCTGAAGAAGCTGGAGCTGTCCGAATATTGTGATGTTTTCGAGAAGGAGAAGATGGACAGGCAAGCACTGGTAAGGAGCTCTCCTCTTCTGCTGTTTCTCCTGTTTCTTCTTTGCTTTTCTTCCCAGTCCTCCCACCCTGGGCACATCTTCCTGGGACTGAGTCACTCACATGAAACGTCTCCGAGTGCAGCAGGAACAGAATTGCAGAGAACAGAAATACCTCACCGCACGCACCCCTCTGCTCCTGTACCAATACCTGGGTTCCTTGTTTTCCAGTTCTTGTGCACAGAGAAAAACCTCAAAGAAATGGGAATTCCCTTAGGACCAAGAATGAAGATACTTCATTACATCAGCTCCAAGACGGAGATGCAGGTTTGTCTCCTGCACGGCTTGTGTTCATCCAGGTCCCATCCCATGGCTCTCAGACAAGCAGCAGCCTTCACTGTTTAGGATCAGTCCCCGAGCACCTCCTCCTCCTCGCTGTCCTTGCTCAGCCTGGTGTCTGGCCGCGGTGACGGAGCTCCTTGCTGCTCCCACGTCTTACGCTGGTGTTACCCTGCTGCAGGCTCGCTCTATCCCACGGCCTGTGAGGGTGATGACAGAGCGGGAGGACTTGTTAACGGTGGTGGGGATTGAAGTTAGCGATGCCAGCTAGAGAGGCAGTTGGCTGGAGTAGGATGCTGCTGCCAAGCCTGCCCTGGTTCCAGAGGATAAGGGGTGCTGGGTGGTTTGCTGCCTTGTGTGCTCGCTCACGGGTGGGTGGGACGGGCCGTGGCATGGGCTCGCTGCAGGAGCCGTGCTAGCGGGGTTTCCCCTTTGTGTTGCTGCAGGACCAGAGAGCAGCAGCTCCTGGGCACAGCAGGGAGCACGGAGCCGAGCCCGGGTCCCCGTCACAGCGCGACCCGGACAGCACGGACAACGGCAATAATTGCCAATACCGCGACGTTGGCTTAGGACAGGTAACTGCCGAGCTCAGCACCATGCTCTAAGTGCAACAGCGAGGCGCTCCTAGCACCAGCATGGAGTGTGGCTCATGAAACAAGTGCAGACCTCCCTCTCTCCTAGGTCTCGGCAAACTATCCTCAGCTAAACTACAAGCCCACCATCTTCTTTGCTTTTGGGTCTCCCATCGGGATGTTTCTCACGGTGCGAGGAGTGAAGCGGATCAACCCAAACTACAGCCTGCCCACCTGCAAAGGCTTCTTCAACATCTTCCACCCTGTAGGTATAAGAGCCAGAGCCTTCCTGCGTGAGACGCGTGGAGCACGAGCCCTGGCTCACTGTCCCCCTCCTCCGTACAGTTTGACCCGGTGGCGTACAGGATTGAGCCCATGATCGTCCCAGACCTGGAGTTTGAGCCCATGCTGCTGCCTCACCACAAGGGCAGGAAGAGAATGCACCTGGGTAAGGGAAAGGGCTGCCCCTCGCCCCCTGCCCTGGGCATCTGCGGCAGCCCCCGGCCCAACGCTGACCCCTCCTGCCTTTCAGAGCTGAAAGAAGGGCTGACTCGCATGAGCGTGGACCTGAAGAACAACTTGCTGGGGTCCCTGCGGGTGGCCTGGCAGTCCTTCACTCGGGCGCCAGGTCAGTGGTGCATGCGGGGCGGTGGGGAGCTGGGGACGCAGCATCGCTCCCTGCAGCCACGCCGGTGCCCATCCTGGTGTCAAACCCAGGCACTGCTGCGCTCTTCTGTGCCTTTGAGCTGCGGGTGTGCTTGGCTCCCCAAATGCTGTGGCCTTCCCCTGTTGTTGCCTGATGACGGAGGAGAAGAGGCAACCCACCTGGTCTGTAACGGTCTCCTGGGGGTCTCGGCACACCAGACCACTCTGGAAGGCTGCCCAGCCTGTCACCCTGCTCTAGCTGTCTGAGTCAATACTGTTCTCCAAGAGAGAGCCCTGGCGGGGTGCAGGACCGAGCACTCGAGCTGCCTCTGCTCTGCAAGAGCCCACCGTGGGGCGAAGGGAGGGCACGGTGAGGCTGTGGTACTTCCACGGCTGCTGGTGCCCCTGGGCTGAACCACATCGCTCCTCTTCCTTCCTTCAGACACAAAGCCAGAGGAGACCCCCGCAGCAGCGAAGGAAGAGGCCTCCCTCATCAACGTGGGGAGGCTCAACGGAGGGAATCGCATAGACTACGTGCTGCAGGAGAAGCCGATCGAGAGCTTTAATGAGTATTTATTTGCACTACAAGGGCATCTCTGCTATTGGTAAGCTTCTGCATAGCCGTCAAGGCTTCAAATTCATGTCTGATGTAAGCAGAACGCTATCATTTTTAAAGCCAAGGTAGTAAGAGAAGCCTTAACTGAGTAAGCAAGATACGCCCCTGCCTGTAAGGCAGGCACAGCGGGTGGGTAGGGGCAGAGGAGGGAGGCCACCGTAATTCTCCTTGCCTAGTGCTGCCTGCATGTGCTGGGCACCACATCTATCCCACAACCATCACGGATGTCCTGACAGAGTGGAGGGAAGTGTCCCCCTCTAATTCCCATGTCCTCCTTCTCCAGGGAGTCAGAAGACACGGTTCTGCTGGTTCTGAAGGAGATCTACCAGACACAAGGCATCACACTGGATCAACCTTTGCCAGGAAGCCAGTGACCAACCTGTGCTCTTCTGGCCACTTGATGTAAGCTGCATCCTGCCTAAACCTTCCTTCCGAATTTCCTAGGACTCCTCAGAGGACATCTGGTCCATCTGAGGGAATAATATTCCTTATTTACAGCGCGGTGTCTCAGGCAGGAGCTTGTGTCGGGTTTTTTCTTTGGTCTGTCAGCACGTTTGGCTTCTTTCCTCTCACCCTGCACATAAGCACTGTGGATACGAGGAGAGCCAACAAACGGCTGCTGCTGACGATAAGGGCAGCAGCAACTGCGCACGGTTACCACCAGTTCAGCCCATCGAGGGAACGACGGGGGCTCCTCCCGGGCTAAATGCTGCTTATAGACAGCAGGCCCACAGCGTGGACCCTGCGGTTCTTGCAGGGGTGTTTTCACCCTCTGCTGCCAATTGCTGGCCAAGGGGACACGAGGGGGAAGGCGCATCCTTACCTTTTTTTGCCCTCGAAGCCTAACGCTGGTGATTGCTGGGCATGGGGGGCGGGGCTGGGTGGATTTTGGGCTGCCCTAGTGCAGCTATTCCTGTGTTCTCCTTTTGCTTTCTTAGATTCACATCAACTGACTACTCACCAGGAAAGTCCAGATTTCTTCTCTGCCTTCCTCTCTCCTCTGCTGCTGCGTCCCCCGCATGCTGCTTCCCAAGTACCTGCTGCTACCTGGAGATAAGGATGATTTTCCTCCATTTTGGGTAGGGGCGGGGGGGGGAAAAAATGTCAAGGGAAAACACTTCTACTCGAACACACACAGTACTTGACCGTGACTCCCTGTGGCAACACGTACGCTTCATTCTCCAGCTTGTAAGTTACCCCACCAGCTCCTCTAGCACCGAAGCAGACTCGCTCTCTGGGCTAGGAACTGACATCGAGGGCTGCTCCTGGCATAGTGCAGAAACCCGCAGCTTGTGCCCTTGAGGAATAAAAGCCTTAAACACGCAGCGTGGAGAGAGCTATAGCAGCCTTGTCGAGCGAAGGAGAGCGCTGACTTCTCCCTGCCCTAGCGCAGAGCACCAGGCACAAGGACTGCGGTCCTTGGGAGGCGAAGCCCAGGGCGCAGGCGTCTGCTGCGAAGCGAGCGGAAATGTGTCTCCCAGCCATTCTCACCTCCTCGAATTGCTGCTGCATGGTTTGTGCACCCATGGGCTGTGCCAGGCAGGGCTGCCCTGTAAAACAGCTCGTGCGAGCGGCATGGTTGTGCGCACGTGACCCAGGCGCTCCTGCCTGCTGTAGCGAATTCTCAGCATCCTCACCCAGCCCTCGGCAGCCAGCAAACCAAGGGCCTCCCCCAGGCACTGCCTGCAGCTTGCGTAGGACTGAGCTAGTGGCGTAACCATATGGGAGGAAAGCTTCACCCCCAGATCAAACTACAGCCATACTGGGGGAAAGCAGCCGCTCCGCAGCAGCCCCCAGGCAATTCAGAGGCCTGGAGGGACTCTGTGCTTTGCAGGGGCACTGCATCCTGCTGCAGCATGGCTTTCGGGGTGCCTACGGGGATCTCACGCCAGCCAGGCTCCAGTCATTGGGTTTGGGTTTAAATACACAAAATGCAGCCAGTGAAGTCGGAGCCCAGATCTGCAGGGTCTGGGCACTGTGTCCCCATGGCCCCACTGAAGGAACGTTGCCGGCTCTGCAGGCAGGTGAGTCTGCAGGTGCCTGTGGGGGGGTAGCTCTGCTCCGGGGGGCACGGGGCCAGAGAGCCTCCAGTGATCCCCCCCTTTGCGACCAAACCCACCCAGGCTGACTCGGGGGCTGGGCTGAGGCTGGAGCCTTGGGGCAAGGCAGAGGCAGCCGCTTCAGTGATGTGTCAGGTTGCTGTGACAGCCTTTGGGAAGAGCCAGACCACTTTCCCTCCCACTGACCATTGCCCTGCATGGGGTCAGGAGCCTTTTTTCCACAGCCTGTTCATTTGTCCTCTGTTGTACTACGTTATTTGCACTATTTGAAAGGTTTTGTTTGCAGCCTACAACCCTCCTCCCGTCCCAAAGGAACTGAAGCTGTTCTTTTACCTGACTGCAGAAACAGGCACGCTGCTCAGCCGGCGCCTGAGCTACCGATTGCTAAAGCGTCTCCTACAAGAGTAGGAAAAGGAATGGTCTTAACACGGGGCACTCTCATGATCAGCTTTTTAAGTTATGCACTTTGTAAAAAAAAAAAAAGTTAAATACATTTTAAATGTTATTTAATGTCTTTTCCAGTAAAAGCCAAAATAAACAAGTAGATGACTGTGGTGTGTGCATGTCTGGGGGGAGAGGGAGGGGAGGGGGGTGAAGCATTCACATATGCACAATTTTAGGGGAAAGGAAGGCAATTTCTGTAACTTCTGTTGAAGTTGCAGAGTTGTAGAGGGCTTATGCGGCCCAAACTGAAGATGATGGGGTGGTATTTCCATCACTGTCATGTCCTGCGCTTGGCAGAGGCACACGTGCCTCGCTCTGCCACAGCCTGGCCCTTGCCGTGTGCACGTACACACACTTGCCCAAGAATACACGATCTAGGGAGGAGACCAGTGACAAATAACTACTTACAACAGTCCTGCCACACAGCTGTGCCTTGGGTTTCTCAGCAGCACTCTACCCTTCCATTGTCTGAGAAAACAAACCCGGTGCAGAGAAACCAGCACCTCTGAAGGGATGCTTTCAGACACCATTTCGTTTTCTGCCGACTGTCATCTCTTTACAATTGTATTAAAGCTGCAAGGAAAGAGGTACAAAATAAACACCCACCCAGAAACCCCTGCAGACACACCAAAGGAAGCGGCTTACACAGCAATAAACCCACACAGCAATAAACCCAGTCCTTGAAGTAAAGCTTTAGTACCATGGTTCATTACAAAAATTAAACTCCTTTATTTGGCAAATTAGAAAAAAATCAGGGCTAGCACAGTAACACAGTAACAACCGTGCTGGTTTCATCTTCCCTCTCCCCCACCTAACCCACGGTTAAAGACTCGTGCTCATTGCTCCAAATCAGCTCAGCTGTGATTGAAAAGACAGACTTAAACCCGGCGTTGGGAGCAGATCCTGCACTTCGTTTCGATGTACGTTTCCTATGAGAAGGGATGGGAGAGCTCGACTGGATGGAAGGGAGAGGACTGATGGTGCTTTCCAGACTGGACACAAGACCACCCCGCGGACGGCGCACACCAGATTGTCACATTTTTCCAGTTCTTGCTTCAGGATCTTTCATAACCCGAGCTGCCCTCCCACAGGCTTGCACGCCGAGTGCCTTGCTCGCTTCACTGCAGGCCCGAAGGGAGGGACGCCTACAAAATTTGGTTAACAAAGCAACACAGGCCCCTGAGCAGGACAACTTACCAGCACTGCCAAGAACGCCTGCTTGGGTTTCAGATTCATCCTTAATTGAGCCACTTCTCGCAGACCAACCTCTCCAAACCCTTCCCCTGCCCCAGCACTCAAGGAACAGCAGGAAAGGCGCTGGCAGGACGGAGCCCATCACTATATATCCAGGTGAAAGCTGGGAGCTGCAGACTTCTCTTGGGGTGCTGGCAGTTGTTTGGATTTGCACAGAAATGGTTTGTGGCACATGGAGTCCACCAGAGGAGGGTAATACTGCCGGTAGCAGAGGTACGCAAGCACAAAGCCGATTGCTGAGCCAACCAACACATCTGTGGGCGAGACCAGAGGAGAGTTAACTTCCCTTTACCCTCTCAATCCTCGCCAGCGAATTCTACGCCAGGCAGCTCTTCAGCCTGCTCAGAGCTGAGCTGGATTGGAGACTTGACCCTCAGCTATAAAACTAAACTTGGCATGTATTTCAAAAACAAAGAGAAAAGCATCATCACCGTGCAGGCAGCAAAAAAAATTACCACTGGAGGAGTAATCAAAACCCCCACGTTGCCATCACGAGCTCTGAGCTCCTCTGCATCAACACAGACCCCCCCCCCCAGTGCTCAGAGTGCCCCCGTCCAGGTCTGCAGGCAGACGCTGACCCACCTTGCCAGTGGTGCTTGTAGTCGCAGGTGCGGGACACGGCGATGAGGGTGGCGAGGAACAGCGGGAGGAGGAAGGCGCAGAGCCGCAGCGCCCTGCCTCCCCGGCCGGGAGTGAAGCAGTGCAGCTTCCCAGCTATGTAGAAGGCAGAGAAGGAGAGACCAGCGAAGGCGACTGAAAGAGAAGTGTGTCGCTTCAGAAATGGCTCCAGGCTCTCAGCCCGACCTTCACCCTCTCCCCCGCTGCAGCGAAGGAGCTGGAAGAGGGCGTCTGTCCTGCCCACATGAGCCAAGGGAAGCACCAACTCGCGAGCAATAGAGGAGCTGCAGAAGCTGGTACTTGGCAAGGTCCTCCCAGGGGATACAGACAGCTTCAGCTTACATCTATCACCCCATTGCTTTGCAGAGGGAAAGCTGAACAGGCCAATGAACGTGGCCAAAGCTGTGGGGTGCATGAAAGCAAAGCCAAGCTGCCCTCCCCACGGGCTTCTGCTCACCACAGTTCATCGTGTGGGGCTGCAGCGGGTAGGGGGCATGGCAAACTTACACGAAGCGTGTCCGCTGGGGAAGCTCTTGCGTCCCTCAGTCACTATGCCCGGGTCGCCTGTGCACACCAGCTCTGCGTTTGCTCGTCCGTCTGGGAAGCATCGATAGAAGAAGTCTGGCCGTGGCCTAGGGCAGAGAACAAAGCACATAGCCCTCGGGCGTGCAGCGCTCCCAGCACGGTGTCAGGAGATGTCTGAGCACCCAGCCCTCCCGTGGAGCACCCATGTCCAAATGCGGTCACCAGCCACCTTGCACGGCTCCCTCCGCTGTGTGAAGGGAAGGCAGCGCGACCCGGGCTGCAAGAAATGCCAAACCGAGCGTCGCAACCAGATCCAGTCCTGCTCGAGCAGGCAGGGGTCGGCAGACGAGAGCCAGGCTGCAGCAGCACACCCTCACCGGCCTGCTGCTGCTCGGACAGGACCCCGTTTGGCCCCCGAGGATTAGCACTGTGCTGATCCTCCCCGTCCAGCCCAGCAGAGCAAATGCCTTACAAGAACCGAATTCCCACACAGCCTCAACGTGCCCCGGACGCGCAGCCTGTGGCCACACCGGAGCAAACCTCTCAGGCTGTGGCTCGGCACAGGTAGCTTTTTGCCACCCTGACCACATGGCCCAGGGAAACGAAACCATCCCATCTGCTCCCTGCACGTGTGCCAAGGCACTCCTCCCTGGCGCAGGCCTGAACGTGCCCACCTAAATGATGCCTGGAGACAGCAGGTCCCCACCAGTGTTTGTTCTAATATTTGTCTTTACAGCTTGAAAAACCACATTCTTTCCAGGCTGAGTGTGTCCAACTTCAGCTTCTGGCCCTTGCTCCTGGTATTGTAGCTCTACTGCTGCGTGGATGTGCCTCCCCTCCCCGCATGGCACAGCTAGGAATGAGCAGGTTCCTTACCTCCCCACAACGAGCTTCAGGGCATTGGTGAAAACCCCGTTTAGGGCAAGAGCAAGGCTGGCAGCTAGGAGAGAGCAGAGAGGTCACGTCAGCATCGTCCACAACCTGAACGTGCACCTTCAGGCATGGGTAGTGCTCAAGCTTCATCTGGAGCCACACAGCTCAGCTTTGATACCCCTGGCACAACACTTGTGCCCCAGCACGGGCAAAGGACAGGACTGTGAGACCCCTGGCTCACGGCCACAGCATCAGGGCAGACCCCTGGCTCACGGCCACAGCATCAGGGCAGACCCCTCGGTGGGCTGCAGCTCTCTGAGATAAGAAGGAGCTCACCAAGGCAGGCTTCCCGCGTGTCTTCTCGGTCAGCATTCATGAACACCCTTGCCAGCATCGGGGCAGCCCCCTCGGTGGGCTGCAGCTCTCTGAGATAAGAAGGAGCTCACCAAGGCAGGCTTCCCGCGTGTCTTCTCGGTCAGCATTCATGAACACCCTTGCCAGGACAATGAGCAACAGGGGAGACAGAAACGCGATGAACTGCCACAAAACGAGAAGGCTGTTAGGTGTCTGTTAGCGAAGCAGATTTAAGCAGTCCCTCCAAACGCAACAGCAATTGCTCACAGAGACAACACGCTTTCCTTCCCCAAAGCCGAGCAGCAACCCGCCCCCTCCAAACGCTGCACTTCCATCAGAAAGCAAACCCAGCCCTAGCTGTGTCTGCAGGAAGCCTTGGCTAACCCTGTGCTCCCCAGCGCATGGCTGTTCCCCCTGCCTGTCACCCCATGGCAGTGCCTCACGTACAAAGCAAGCCCATGGGCTGCTGGACCTCGCCTGTACCGAAGCGTGAGGGGAAAAAAAACCCAAACCGCAGGCAGCATAAATAGTGCCGGGCACTAAAAAGCTCCTCCCTGCATCCCACTGCATCCCGTGCTTTACCCACTCAGCGCATGAGCTCGGCAGAGTAGCAGAGCCTTCCCGCCTCCGAGAAAAGCCCAGCACATCCTCAGGCTCTCAAATAGCACCTCTGGCACGGGCACGCTGCTCCGGCCGGCTTCGTGTCACTCCTGCCTGCAGCTCCCTGCTCTCCTGCTGGCGGGGGTCCCTTCGCAGCACCAGCCACAGCACCTCGCCTCTCCCCGTCCCCGCAAGCACAAGGATTAGCTCTGTCAGCAGCACCCACGCTGCTCGTCAGCAAAAAATACAGGAGCTGCTGATTCCGAGAAAACCAGTTATCATCTGCAGCATCACCACCGCTGACGGATTTCCCCCTGGGGACGTCCACGGTGTGTCCGACAGGCTCCCAAGGAGTCTGCTACCACCTGAAGCCTGGCACGTGTCGTGCTTTAGGCCACCAAATCCAAACGCTACACCAAGGTCCTGTCCTTTAATGTTTAGTGCCCACCTCTTGCAGAAAATCAAAAGTGCATTTCCTAAGAAAGTGGCCGCTTGCCCAGCCCAGGAGCCACAGCATCTCCCCGAAACACCCCTGCTCGAGGAAGGGACAGCCCCTCTACGGTCTGCTTAAACCCCAACACTTACAGTTCTGCATCAAACCCTTTTAACGGAGCCTAGAGACCTAGGGAAAACGTTTTCACACTAAAATCGTTAACAGAACTTTGCTAAAAATAGCCGCTTTCAAGCCAAACGTTCCCTGATAGCAGGAGATAACGCCATCCTCCATGGTCCGAGTAACCTGGGCGCGAAATCGAGTACAAACAACAGTGAAAAGTCCCCAGGGGTTTTTATAAGCTTTGTTAAAATCCCAAAGGCAACCCTGGATGGTAAAGCCTAAAAAGATGAGAAACCCGACTGCAAGCGCTGTCCAGCTCGCAGTAACACCCACACTAGGAATTGCACAAGGAATCGCGCTTTCGGTAACGGGCATCAGGAACTACAGGCGCTCGCAGGCTTTCAGCCGGCCGCTTGGCTTTAAAGGGATCGTTTATAGAGGAAAAGCAAAATGCAGGAAGCGCATTTAGCGGCAGGGTTGGGGTCACGGCTGGACTCGCCGATCTCAAAGGTCTTTTCCAACCCGAACGCCGCTAGGAAACCGCTGAACTTACAAGCATGGGCAGCGTGGGTACGTGATCCGCTTCCACGTAGGGGTTTCTGTAAAGCCACATCTCCTCGGGCTGCACCACGCGCTGGAACGGCGGCACAAACTCCATGGCCCTGCGGGGGAAGGGAAACACCGCGTCGGGGGAGGCCGCGCCCGCAG